GGGGCGACTTTTGCGTTCGACTAGGGTTGAGTGGCGGCGACAACGAACCGCGTTTGGTGAGCGTGTGTGCACCTCATCAGGAGGTCGTGGTTCTATTCAGAGCCTCGACGAGGACAATAGCCCCCACTATGGCAATATTCATGCCGTGAAGAGCCGCTCACGCTCGCACTGTGCATCTGAACAACAAACACTGGCTAGTGCAAGAGAAAATATGCTCCTTTGCAGAACGGGCGCCCTTGCTGAGAAATGCCAAAATGGAGGAATCTTGGAAAAAATGGCGCTAGGTCACATTAATCCCATAAATTACCACAAATAGTGGCGCCAGTCTGGTTTGCATGGGTAACAGTAACATGTGGTGGATGTTATGTATAATTATGATGTGCACGGTTAGCTGCAAATCACAAGGCCGTAAAATTTTACAAAAAAGGTTTTTCAGCTACTATTCGCTATGTCCCGGGTTGTAAACCCCAGTGGCATCGAACTCCCTTCGATTACTGAATCACTGTCTTCTCCGATCGTAACTTAACAAAAATATAAAATATAAAAGACAATTTGGCATCAAGCCAGATTTATTTACGCTCATTAGGCTTCATGAAGGGCTTGTGTGCTGTATAGACGAAGCCTGCGAAAAAAAGACAAGAAAAAACTGTTTGATAGGATTAGCAGCTGTGAATTGTATGTTTCTCGGAACATCAAAGGTTTGCATAAACATAACGTAGAATTTAATCTATTCAGGAAATGATAGTATCTAGAAGATGCACTACCCTTCGTAACGAAACTGTAATATAATCCAAAGTGCCCTTCCCCTTTCAAATTCCTTTCACCATTTCTAGTAATTTGTCAATTAACCCATCATTATGCATGGTAAAGTCCTTGAGCTACGTTGCCTCTGAGTTGCAGACACGCTCGTCAACTTCAACTCCATTAGCAGTAAATAAGATGTCTCGGATTGCAACGCACTGCGACGCAAGTGCGCTATCGCTTGCTTGATCGCATCGCGACGTTCAAGATTTACAATGCGAAAATGTGTCATTTCGACCACCAACGTTGACGTTTCTATCGTCTCTAGAAAAACGCTATGTCACATTGCCATGATAGGCATAAGTGATTAACGACGTCAACCCAGGGCAAGGCAGAAGAAAACTGGTCCTCGATGAGTGGAACTCGTCCACGAGTTCTACGCCGATCAGCGTTTATGGTCTTCGTTGAGATGCACGCTCTTAACGCCTAATTTACGAGCTCGCAGTGTGCATCGGACATTTCACCGCACTTTTCCGATTTTCATTCTCGTTAAAACGATGTCTAGTTTGGTGAGGTTTGATTAGAGCGTGATTTTTTCCAGAGAATCGCGATTTGACATGCCCTTTTTTCAATCCATTTTTTGAAGGCCACAACTCTGTCAAGTCGTGACGTTCGCAGATGCACGAATGCGCTCGAACAGAGCGCGATATCCTCCATTCCAACTCTTTGTATCCACTTTCGATTCAAATTTTTTCCACATAGCCGACGATTTTTTCTCCGAGCTAGATTTCACCGCTAGCGGTTTTCCATTGTGGCCAGCAAAAAGCCAAGATGTCTCCTCCAGGGCATATCGTTGTGTTTTATTGCGCTAAGCGACGAAATTGCGAACTGAAGAGGGATAGAAGACAGCTGGACTAGAACAAGCAGAGACTGAGCTTGCGACCGGCGCAGAGAGGACCACAACCAGCTGGTGGTGTGAAGCTCGGAAGTCAAATATTGCAGAGCTTGCAGGCGTTTGATAGCGTAATTAATCCCATGATACGGTAAACATACGTAAACCCTAAGCACGCATATGCCTCGTTTCCGGTATGGGAAAACGAAGGCCCAAGCGTGAATTCGGTTCGCGCAAAAAGTCAAATATTCGATGAAAGATCAAAAATGGAGAAGACAAATAAGGTTTCTGGAAAGGTGTGGTACTAGCCAGGCCTGCATGCTCGTCCTTCCCTCAGCTGACCTATGTTCCACCCGTCATTAAGCACTACCCGATCTTTTTTCATAATTTTCCCTGCCAATGTTTGTGGAAGACCACTATCTGCCTCGCACCCATCACCTAATGGCCTGCACTTTTTTGTTTGTAGATTCTCGAAGCCGGTGGCGATGTTTACGTGTGTTAGTCACAGCCTTTACGCACGGAAGATATATGGCAGGTCGTAAGGGCAAGGTTAGAAGTGCTGTCACCTGCTCAGGTAGAGCTGGACATATGTAACAAGTGTCACTATTGCTACACCCACTATGGCTAGCCTAAACTAACATTTAGGTAGACGGCGAACAGTTGTTATGTAGTGCCTGCTTATTTTACACAAAATAATGGGTTTGCGGTTTCTGAGATGGTCAGTTGTTCTGACAGTTATGAATGGTTTTAGGGTCCTGAGCGCCATCCAAAACCAAGTGGCTCACGGATAACGAAGGTTGAAAGCATATTTATTGGGGACACCAGTTGAGGCTTGTCTATATGTTAACTAGACACACCGGATAATTTTGCTAATAATAGGAATTTTCTCAGGTTATTCGGGATGAGAAATCTTTAAGTTGGAAAAAATATTCAATACTTGCAGCGTCCCAAGGCGCTAAAGCTTTTGAAACTGGCCATAAGGCCAGCAGTCAAAATGCCGTCTCTGATTCTATAGGAATGCACCACTAAGGGCGATGAAATCGGGATTTCCAGTCGATTGCAATTCGGAAAAAAAAACGATTGTTGTGGAATAATTACGGCGTGTGTGCAAGAGCAGCACGGCCTGGCGTGGATGCAAGGGCACATGGAACTGGCCACCACTGCCGTGTTTTTCGAAGGGATTTAAAAAGCTCCCAGCGATTTAGTCCGGGATTTTCGCGCTATGGGAATGCCAATATTCAACAGTGGTAACGCATTTTTTTCGAAAGTTAGTGGTTTTTAGAAAATGCCCTTTTCGTACCTTTGTTGCAGAAATTTGGGGTAAAAGCATAGTAACGGAACTTGGGTGGAAAGAATAAAGATAGTATGCGAACGAGAGTGTCAGACAGGCATAGAAACTTTTTGGAACTTCCAAAAAATATGAGAAACTTGCTATTATCTGTTCTTTCAATTCATGAACATGGATAAGCCAAAATGAAAATTTTATATGAATATTTCTGTTGTGTTGCTAGCTTGAGTGTAATCTCACTCTATCGGTGCCCATACCTGAATTTTTATTAGCTTTTGAACGACAAAATTGTAGTTCAGGCTCTAGTGTATTTTATAAGCCTCCCCACAACTTTCGCCTATAGCCGCCTACATAACCCATGGGATGGCGAAGGTTAAGTACTCTAAAACCTGCTAGTTTGAGAGAATTTTGAGCTTTTTGCCCTTTCTAGCGCTGCTCCTAGGTACGGTAATCATCATTGTTAATTCGTGTCTAGTGCGTACGTTGGCACTCATGCATATGATTACAGAAGTTGGGATGGTAGCGTGTCCGAATTAATGTGAAGCTGCTGGGGAAAAAGTGAGGGGAGAAGACAAACAAGCTGCTGCAAATTTGTGGGGAGGTGAATATCTCTTGCTGATTCTTTGTAAGCAGTGCCATGATTCGGTTCCTCCTGTGGAAGTACCAGATCACAACGCGTGTCAAAAAAGCACATCTAAATGACCACCAGGTACGAAGACACATTACAGCACCTAAGTAAAGTCAATCATACTACTAGGCAAGTCCATCTTCGAAGCCGGTTGATCAAAGCAAATACGCCGCCACGCGTCCGCACCCACAATTGCCGCCGAGCGTGACCCTACGCGAACTTGGGGGCCCATAAAACAATCAACGCTTTGTCAGCAGAGTGGCTTTTTTACAATAACTTCTTCGCCCGACGTGCGAGAAAAAATACTCCTAGTGTATTAACTAATCTTTGTAGTTTCACTTGTCAGGTCTGTAATTATGCCTGATATTGCTAATGGAGCGATAATCTTCTTAAACACGATGCCCCTTGTGGCTGACGACAATCACAGCCTTTCATGACTAAGAACAGCAATGCTATTTGTACAAAGACATTTTGTTTATGCGCATATGTAGAGCTAGCATCTGAACTCCGCCGTTCCCCGCTAAACACTCCAATTTTGAAATTCTGTCTACTAGGTGGTCCCAGTAGATGGGGTTTCATGAGGTTCAAAAAGTTCTTTCGAATGGACCCCTTTTATTCGTTCTTCAACTTCTCCTCACAAGTATGCAATTATGTACCTTCCCATCCCACTATGGACGTAAGAAGTACACACTCAATCCAGTCTCTCGGAATTTCTTGCTAACTAACTGCACACCACTGCTTCTCATTTGATGTATGCTAATGTGCGTAAATAGTGGCCGAGCGAAGCTCGAGCTGAAGCCAACGCAGCGGGGCGCTTACCCAGTACAATAGGTCACCTAAACTCTTGCCTACCAACTTAACCGGTAGCCCTAATTAAACATTTCCTGGTTATTTGATCGCACACAATGGATGCCTCTGCTTGATTAGCTAAAATTATGTAACAATGAATCTCAAGAAGGCCATGGTCAACTTCTCCCATATGACTACCGTAACCCATCAGAATATCAACCAACCTTTTATCGGCATTCAAAGTTGGTGACTACAGTGATGAGGTCGTCGACATCCTAAAATTTTTGTCGGCACTTTGCGAAACAATAAAATTTCAAATTTGTGCTATTCAAGGCATAATGGTAATTATTGATCGGTACTGATCGATTAGACTATTCTACTATCAATGTCGATGAGACTGATAAATTTATTCTTATATATCATATTTCAATGCGCACTTATATACAAACTTAACAAATACCCGTAACAACTCTATCCTAGGCGAGAAAATCGAATATATAAACATTTAAGATGGGCAGACTCTGGCCAGGGGCACCCGGATGACTGAGGTGAGGCGATGATAAGATGCTGTGTTATAATGAACACTCATAATTTTAGGAAAGGCCAAAAAGGGACAAATAGACATTAAGGGGGAAAATTTGATTATCACAATCATATTTAAGCTATTTGAGTGTTGGGACTGCTCGCAACAGCACAATAAGTGAAAATAACAGAATAAAGGTGGAAAAGAGTGGCAGTGACATAGCTGAGGCTTCCAAGGGTAATTCAATAATTTCCCCACCAGGGAACCGTTCGATAACGTTTTCATCGAGGATCTTGGAATGCGTCACGAAATTGCTAGACAATGTCTTGCACATACCGCGATTTGTGATAGGTTGAATTTGCAGAGTATACATTGTAGATGGTACCAAATTCTCATAATTCTCATGCACCTAAAAATACGGTATTCAAATGCTTGCTTTACAAATGAGGTGAATATCTTACCTCTCTTGTCTGTGGGGCTAGAATCGTGATATTCGTGTCATCACGAACTGGTGACGACAATGCAGCCCGGTACCCAATTACGGTATCTGCATTTGTTCCTCGATCTCGTACCCAGTGGCAGGATACGGTAGCATGGACTATACAGAAGAGGGGAGTGGCTAGGAAGAGACATGGCAAAGCTCCTTGAGCGGGTGTGACATCACAGGATTTCGTCGAGAAGAATGTGCTGATCACCGTCTAAATAATAGACTTCACTTTGTCCTGTGCGGTGGTTAGTGATCGACCATATTAATCAAAATCTCGAAAAATTTATGGATGCATTTTTGCTTTTTTGACTTATCCTCTAATTTTCTTCTTCCGCGATTTCCAGCGCATAATCGCAATCAAACGTCAAGCCTCCTATGGCCGCGGAGCACTCACTGACTCGTAATTCTTGTAATCTGCAATCGCTCAGTTCAATGGCGGCTTAAAAATCAATCAATTATTAATCCAAAGCAACTTACGGTGTAACTACATGTTGATTCAACTGATATTCTCGACAAGTACCGTGCTTTACTGTCACCACGAATGTTTTCTTTTCCGGTGAGCAGGCCCGAGAGTTGACCCAGTTAACGGTCGTCTGAATGGAATTGAAATAGTGGTTCGGAAAGATTGAAATTGATCATGTGCTGTGTTGAGAAAACACAAGGTGACATTTTCCTAGCACATATAAAACGTACGTAATCACAGGTTTAAAATGCTTGATAACGAAAACTAACCCGAAGCTCTCCATCAAAGTACGGCGTTTGTATATCCACATTGTCGTCAGTGGTCTCGTCTTCGTCCTCGTCAGTAGTTGTCGGCACTGCCAAATCAAAGCCGGTTTGATCTAACATAAGCATGATTAAGCTCGGTTGTTAACGAAATGAGGGGTTATGACAGACCGATAGGTGGGTCCTGAACGATTTCTGATGAGGTAGCATTCAACGTCTTAAAAAAAAGAATGCCTTTCTCCCCGTGAAGTTCACCTTCGCTGGAGTCGACGGAAGCGTGGATCTGAAGATAATAGGTCTTTTATAGAATTAGGCGCAATAATTCTGTGATAATAGATGGTCAGTTGATTTTTTACAAACGCGCCATCGCGCAGCGCGTTACTAAAAAACCATGAAAATCACCTCAACGATATAGACGGAGTTTGGAAACAGTCCTGACAGTTCCGACTGAGTAGTGTGGCTTGGCACAATTACAGAATGCCTATCCCTGCAAACAATATTATACTTTAACAAATCCTACAAACACTAGAGAAACAAAAGGGAACGGAAACGTACCGTCCGTCGATGCCCCACGCCTCTTCTTCCTCGTCAAGACTTCGCTTTTCATGTGTCGTAAGTGTGGCGCGACGTCGCATCATCTCCTCGAAAGCATTTGCTTCAGAAGGTGAGGACACAGCCCAGGATAGCTGTAAAAATAACTTGCATGCTTCAAGACTGGGATCTATCCCATGCTAGATAGCTGATAACTCTTGATGGGTAAATCGCTTGTGGGTGGAGTCCACTGCACTATTTGATTCCATAAACCTATAGGAATGAGACGGGAGGCTCCCAAGAAGATGTCACGAGGTGATAAAGGTGTGCGGGCTTCTGGAAACATTGGTCGAAAACCATAAGGGCCAAGTGTATGCTAAGCGGAAATAAAAAAATGAGCACTACTTTTGCTCACCTTTGGAGAGTTTAAAAGGCTGTGACGGCTGGCTGAATCCAAGGCTGTCATGGATGCTTACAGCTCCCACACGGAACTCATAGTACCGTCCAGGTGAGAGCAGATGTTTCAATATTGCATATGGCTTGTTCCTCTGTAAAAAATCCATTAGTACAGTATCAAATTCCTCAAACACCAAACTTGCTTACCACAGTGACCGTTTGCCATTCCGTCATACTTTCGCCTTCAGGGTGTAGACCCCACCGCCACTGCACCACATACAGATTTGAATTGGCAGCATTTTGCTCTCGAGTGAGCTTCTGCATCACCCAGCGTATAATAATTGAGCTGAAGTCGTACAGATGATTTCATCTGAGAATCAAAGAGTAAACGACACCTACCGTTTCCTCTTCCTTTCTTGGACAGAGATGGAGCCCGGTATTGGTAGCAATCGCGGATCTCGTCCTTTCGGCAGGACACACTGCCTGCTGCAGCCATAAGAACAGCACTTTTCGGTCTCAGGACAATCTCCGTCCAGGTGACAGAGGGCAGTACACTCCTGTAAAATAACGTTTAAGTGAAATACATGCTTCAAAAATGTTTGTAGACTTACATAATTGGACTGGTTTTTTATTTTAGGACAAGCGCCAGGTTTCTCAGTGTAGATGTGCTGGAGGTTCACAAGATTTTTCACAGGCACTTCCATCTGTTGTGTCCTACAAACTATGAAGGTTATACTTGAATTGCAAAAATTTCACTGATATGGCGCTTTGTTTGTAAGTACACAAATTATCAAAGCAGAAATTATTCAGAGACTTCGAAAAAAGAAAAAGAAGCTTACCTTGCAAGCGCTATTCTTGCACGAGTTAGCATCGGAAAATGTTTCTCGACACGGTTCGTTACACTGAAAGAATCTGTTTGAAACATGGGATTGCTGACCGGAAATACAAGAACAAAGGAAGGAGGATTATAGGAGGAGGGATGATCTGGGAGCAAAAAGGCCAGTACTAATATTTTTGTCTACATCTCATAGCTAATTAACTGGATTCTATGTGGCTATCTTGCGGTTATCCTCCACCCCATTACGTCCAAATGAGCTTCACGCATTTCTGCCCATTCTCTCACTAACACTTCTCCCAATGTGAAGTTGTTTATGCTCCTCTCCAAGTCATTCTCAACGGGCTTCCAATCTTGCAGTAGTGATTTTCATTAGGTGGCGTTTAGCTATGGTAATTGTTAATTGTGGGTGAGAAGGCTTCGAGCGTAAGCATTATGCGGTCATTGACAGCCGCGCGGACTCAAACCACATCAGTATGACCAACGAAAACAAGTCAAGTGTGGATCAGAGGTGCAAGTGTGAGCTGATACCACATTCTGAATACCACTGGGAGGTCACTACGATGAGCAAGTGTTTGGTGGAATGTAATGGGAACTGGGGCAAAGCACTAAGTTTAGAACAAGCACAGTTGAAAACTTAGTGAAGCTGGTTTAAAATAACTGTAGGTCCTGGTCTCGCCCTTTTCGGTATTGACCTTACCACAACCCATACCCGTCCCGAACCAAGCCCAATAGCTGCACGACTGGATTAAACATGCTTAGCGACTATCTTGATGGCTTTGTGTCAAGCGGTCAAGTGGCTTTTAGTCACCACTAAAAATTGATCCTCAGCCATCATCAGCTGCTATCAGCGCACAGATGGATCGGAGCTACTCGTCATAGGACAAGCAAACAGCTTGTGCCATGAGTTAATTAGATATAGCATTGCTACAGTATGCCTAAGGATATATAAGGCGCACTTTGCTACATATATAACGATTATTCACAGTGAGTTTGCGCCTTTACCCTAACCTGACAATTATCACTCTGCTACCCCGTCCCATCCGATCCCCTCCCCTGTTCTCCTTTCTTTTTCTTATGCGCCACATGGCATCACAGAAATCATAAGAATCGCGTTTTCATAGTAACTATGCCTTTGTCATCTAACAACGCCGGCTTTTTATGGCTTTGATCTTTTATGAGAACATTGCCTAACAGCTTGCGTGCTTGTGCAACATCGGCGAAATCGAAACGATTTTGAGACAAAGGCATCTGGTGGCTACGGCATAAATATCAAAGCACATATAGGCTAAGTCGGCCAAGTCCAGGCTACAGTATATTAACCGTAAACCGAAAGAGAAGCAACGAAAGAAGAGTCCGCTGCTTCAACAGCCCTAACAACAGAAAATGTTTTGCAATCGAAGGACCCCCAGTGTTGTTAGTCCTGATAGCCAAAGCAAACGCCTGTGAAATATGTCTCAAGCCACTTTTTCTTCTCTTTGTGCAAAGTGATATACGCGCAGTTCACATCTGGTTGCTACGGCGGCAGCTCAAACGCGCTTGATGTCTGCGAGGTGCTTACCACCGCTAGTAAAATCGTTTACTACCACATGTAAACAGTTCACTAATCGCTTGTTCGCCAAGCGCAGCTATTTGAGGACCTGTGGTCCATATGGGAACCCGCGCCACCGCAGATGTTCAGGGGTGCAACTGGTGAGTGTCATATGTCTTTGAGCGCAGGGAGAAGCATCATGTAACGTCTCAGTTTTGAGGCCTATGATGACCCTACAGTACATGAATATTCTCATAAAGTTTATAGTGTGTTGCATATGACAGATATGACAGATCCTACATGCACACCTCTTCTGCTAGAGTTTGATTCATTTCTCTCTTGATTTCCCACTCTACCTCCCCCCCCCCTCCCTCCCCCCCCCGCATCGTTCTCCCAAACGCTGCCTATAACAGACTCTGCCTCGTTTTGACATTTCTCCCTCAGCACAATTTTTTCAAGCCTGGATTGTCTCGCCATGATAGATTCACTCTCATTGTTCTCGGCGATCTGCCGTCTGCAGACGAGATCTAAAAATACGACCCATTGATAAATGCGGCCACGCCATATGGTTGTTGAGCACCGCGCGCGTAGATAAAGTGCCGCTTTCCCATAGTTCATCAAAATATAGGTAGAAGAAGCATTGCAACCACAGCGGTAGACAGATAGATGTTGATAACCGTGCGAGACTTGAAAAGCAAAAACAAAAAATCCGAAGGAAGTTCTGCTTGCTTGTGTGATCTTGAAAAAATTGCTTGAACAGCCTTATCCCGTAACCCCTACATGAAGGTAATTTATCCTTTCTGCTCCATCCATTGCATGGATTTCTATGGTTCACAGATTCTGATTCCCCGTGCGCACTCCTTATAACGTAGGAATGCGCAGCGAAGCGGAGCGACCGCAGTAACGAGTCTTAATGGCTACCCCATAATTAGACGATGGAGTGAAGGAGTAGTGGCGGGCTTGAATTTAGATATCAACAGCGATTTTTTGGGTTTGGTAGGCTTGGTAGATTTCTCCGTACAAACAACGAAGCAAATAGCTACTGTCCTGACAAGATGGCTAATCCTCATATTTGCTTTAGAGATATACGTTTTATTGCGGTTCACACTCGGACGAAGATGTCTGGGCAAACAGGTTAATCTGAGATCGCGCATCGTATTTGTGCTTCTATGGGGTATGGGGGTATGCCATCGTATAAGGACATATGAGTAAGAGGAACTCACAGCAGAACACGTAGTGTCATCTTTGCAGATTTGGATGATGTGGTGCTTCAAATTTCGCCGTTGTTCCTGATCACTCTGAAAAAGAAATTTGAGCAATGTCATCTGCGAAACAACAACACAAATTACTGGCAGAATGCAAAGAGAAGAGGAGATCAAAAGGCGATGATTTTGAAGAAATTGAGCTACTCTGATCTACAGATGGCTGTGGAATATGGGTGGTATGCAGGTGCGAGATGCCGCATATTGAGTAGGAGGCCACAGCCTCAAGGATCCTTACTTTCTACTGGCTTCAAACCATTGAGGAGCGAGCTTTTAATTTTATTCAATACCATTCCCTCTCCTCTCTCCAAATGCTGACCTTAGAATACGTCACGCAGCTCTACATCGCTACGTAATCCTCTATAGAGCACTTCCGTTGCGCAACGGTCACTGCTACAGTGTTACACAATCTTAATAGGCTACTAAGTATGTATGCGAATAATTACGGTCATTTCCGTCGTGTAAGTGCTTAAAAGTGTGAGAAACTGCACACACGGTACTGTAAAGTGGTTGCGAGTGGACCATGGTAAACACTTCATGCCAAAATAGTCTAGAGAATTCACAGTTTTTCCAATTTATTTGTTATCAACAATCCCTATTCTATAATTCGAAACCTTGTCCCCTTCCGGATAATTTTTGTTCCTGTATGAGTCGCGCAATGTTGCAGGCGGTGGTTCGCACTCACACCATTTGGCGACAGATCCACCTTAGTCATTCAGGCGTAAACACACACACTTAGTGACCTTCTACGATGAAGAAGGAACACCGAAATATAGTGAATCTCAGCAAAACCAAGTCTTGGAGCCGCTGAAATACGGTAGACACTATCTTGCACAATCGTAATAGAGTACTGGGAATACCTGCTGCCAGCAATTTTGATCCCTCTGTTGCGCAGTGGCTACTTTTGTAGATCACCACACAGTAAAGCCGAAACAATAACCCGCAATTGCTGTAGTGCGCCACTGAATGCACTGTCTCAAGATAAGAGAGACCCCGACATTTGCGGTTATTGTGAAACTATAATTACTGTATAAACAGTACGGTAGCGCATGCTGTTCCGAGTGCTATAGAAGTTTTCTGGGGCGGCAATATATAATTATCCCTGCAGCGAAATTGTACCAACCTAAAAAGCAAATGACTGTAGCGAGTTAATGTAACTGTTATTTTTTATCAGAAAATGGTACAGGATGGATTCAGTTGCAATTTGTAACGCACTTGCAAAACTTCAAAGCCTGTATACTGAAATGCATGTGAAAGTAACTCCTAGCAATCAATTTCCAAAAATCTCAACCACAAAGGATCCATCTTGGCCCGACACCACCCCTTCTGAAGGAAAAACAGCTATCATCAATCAATTCAGCGGTGATCGGGTGTAGCGTCAAGCAGACGTGGGGACGTCGGTCAGCTTTGTCTGACGTTGATTTCTAAGCATATTCATTCTATCATCAAACGCGACGCTTCATTACCGCTCCGTGCACGACGCTTTGATTTATGAATTCATTATACATGCAATCGTAGTGCTGAGTCATGGACGATACGCTGGATTCCTCAAATCTTATGAACCTGACGTAAAAAATCTTGGCTTCTACTACTGTGCTCCCCTCCCCTCCACCTCGTCAGAAGAGAACAAAAGCGCGGTAACTGCATATTAACTTAAATTGATGCTAATTTCGGTTAGGCGAGTCGGCATACGTAACATAAGACCAAAGAAAGGAGAGCACCTGCCATAATGATTGCTTGTTTCCCAACTGTGCGGAGCGAGTTCATATTTCACTCGTTAAGTCATTCAAAACCTTATGGTTATTCCCAATACTTTGTATGAATATATTGGTAACTGGCGCAGGATTGGCCGTTCTTGAGCGGAGATTTGGAATTAGTAATTTGGACCTTCGCGAACAAAATGCCCACAATCGCGCAATCTCCATATGTCCATTACACTCTTCAGGACTCAAAACTAGAATTATAGCTATAAGTACTTACGCAGACACATACACAATGGAAGAAGGCCTTATTAAAGACCCGCAGGTCATTAATTGGCGCGCGGCATCGCGCTTATTCAACGCTAGAGCATCTACCATCTATAGCTACCGCCCGAGGCTAATACTAGTGCTCCCACTTGAAAAAATGGTCCTGTGAATGCCACGGCGCTATGGCAGTGAAATTAGACCTGTGTAGACGTCCGATGTGGAAATTTATGGCCGAATTGCCGCCCGCGAAAATTCCCAAAAGCGTTATCGTATTTT